GTAGTGGGACAAAAAATTTTGGCCAAACACGGAGACCGAACATATTCTAGCCGTTCGAAAGGTCCTATCGATATATACTTATGGTAAAAAAATCACGGACAGGTATTATGCTTTAGTCGAGATATCGTCGAAATAGTGAGTCTCCAGGGCTAGAAAAATGGTATATAAAGATAGGTCAAGTTAACATATAAAAGTAGGATCAAAACCTATCAAAAATTACATCAAAATGTTCGCCTTGTCAAGATCTATCATCCTATATAGTTTCTAGAGCGATCTGCCGATAAAAAGTCAGTGGGCCGATTTATGTTCTTATTGGCCTCCGTCCTTTTAGAAAGCAGGGTTTTTTGTTAAAAAATAGGAATTTATCAGGAGAGTTTTCTAACAAAATTGGAGGAAAAATCAGGAAATTTTTTCTCAAAACCAGATGGAAAGTACGACAGTGTCAGGTACTTCATTTGCCAAAAAGCAAAGCTTTTCACGCTCAAACATTTATAATTTTGGTTTTTAATAAACGATCAATGAAAAGGTGTGTCTGAGCGAACAAAGCAAAGAAAAATAGAATGATAATTACACATAGTTCATTTTACTGATCTTTTCAAAGTTATTTATCGAGAAATATAAGCAAAACAGATACAATCGAGTTTTAAGAAACTGTGAAAGAATTGAAACAGAACAGAGTAACCTGTTTCCCCACATCTTTTTTGATATTGTTGTTTCATGATTGTATCTTTCTTCTGAATGAATTGGTTTTAACATTTCTTTACTATTTCACAGATTTTTTTAATTTTAACATTGAACTCGACATTCATGAAGATCATTTTTTTGTCTATTCCTATTATCTTATCATCAAAATTTTGTGTGAATGAAACTTGGTTCGTTATCAGTTCTTTAAACCCATTATTTATCGGCCTATATAAGTACTGGAACCGGATCGGTTGTAAAATAAATCAATTGGACCATAGAGATGAGAATTTTACAGGGTTGAAATCTTTCAAAAGCCTTCTTTGTCGATCTTGTATCTGACTAAAAAAAACTAAGATATCGCATAAACTTCTGGTAGAGTTGACAAAAAAGAAGACAAAACACAGGTTATCTAATTATTTGTCGTGAGATTCACTTTAAAAAGATGATTTTTGTTGCATGTCTCTTACATGCTCTTCGAAACTACACCCTCGCACAAAATCTTTTCTCTCTTCCTTTCTCTGCTATCATACTTTGTGTGAAATTTATTGCGGAGTACAAATATGTCTTGAGAGTTTTACTGTATTGTGGTTTATATACCATACTGAAATATAACTCTCAAGTCATATCTTTACTCGGCAATAAATTTTATACAAATTATGATAGGACAGACATAAAGAGGGAGGAAAGACTTATGCCTATGGGCGTTAATCATATTAGGGTCCGTTTTCATATAAAAGTTGTTTTTTAAGAGAATTTGAGATTTTTTCACTGTTTTTTTGTCTATTTTACCGAAATATTTTTCGATAAAGCATGTGATTCCAATCGATCAGTTTATCGACCAGACAAGTTTATCATTTCGCAACCTACTCTCGGTACTGATCCATTCCATGTGGCAAAAAATGAGTGTTCTTAGAAACAAAAACTAAAGACGATTAAAATACTCGGAAAAAGATGAAATCTTTGAAATATTTAATTTTACGATAAATATAGAACTGTCGTATAAATACACAGTATGAAATCGAGCTTTGTAAATCAAACCTTGTATTTTTTTAAAAATACAATCCTATTATGCGACCAGACTTTTCGCGATACAGTCTGATCATCTGGAATTTCAAATAATTGAATGTGATGCTGGTTTCACATCATCTGGATTGCTACTATATATATCTAGCTGTAATAATCCTCTTTTTTTGCGCATTTTTTATGTATTGAACGGCGTTGGAATTGAAGTAACCTCCCTCCTCCATATTAGAAACCCAAGCGGACTTCTAGTATGTCCACCATATGAAGCTTCTGAAGGAGAGCACCTATTAAGTCCCAAAAAATTTCATACACTGTGACTGCAAAAACGATTTGAAAGATTTCTACATATTTTAAAGGTTTTTATGAGTTTTTCAGAATATTTCCAGCGATGTTCTCAGATTTAGCAAAGCTATATTGAAAACACTGAAAATTTTACCTTAAATTCGAAAAATTTTAGTAGTTTTAGCACGAGAATTCAAAAAAAAATTTTAAAATATTAAAATGTTTTTTAGAAAAATTAGAGGCATTCTAATGCGTTAAACACATTGTGGATCTTAGAGGGGGCTTCTGCTATGGGAAAGGATTCAAAAAAGAATTGAAAATGAACAGAAATTAGAACAAAATCTGAAAAATCAGCTTCTGAATTGAGGAGAAATATTATAAGGAGAAAAGTTTAAAGATCAGAAGTCTCACGGCCAAATCAGGAGGCTTGACAAATCTATCCCGCACCCACACTCAACCACATCCGGGCCCGACACCCATATTCTAAAACTAGAATCAGTACAAAGATGTTTTTATTTGAAGATTAGAAAGCTCTTCTATTATTAAGCAAGAGAATGTGTTTGTAAGATGTCCTGTATTTCGAATTGTCAAGTTGCTGTCGCACCGGCAGCTTCAGTTAATCTACACAAATATGAAATTTGTATGAGCAGTTAATTGTTATCAGTATGATAAAACGCTTACATTGACCATTTTTTCGCCTATGGCATTTGGTTTAGCAGCTACAATGGCATCAGCAACCAGTCGGTCTGTATAAATTTAGGCACACTATACATTATCAATATATCAGCACACTTACTGTGTTCAAGGTTTTGGCCTCTGGCAGCTGGCTTTGCAGCTACAATTGTATCAACAACCAATCGATCTGCGTATGCTTAAACATAGTTATCATCAGCGCAATGCTCATAGACTCATAGTACGTACCTGTTAGACTTTCAGCATTTTGTTTGGGAGCCACAATATCACCAAAGACTAACTGATCTAAAACAATAAAATGATTGTAATTTAAGTCTACTTTTATTCTTACTTTTTGCGTGAACAATGTGAGCAATAGTAAAGATGAAAAGCACCCAGCAGATCGAAGTGGACTTCATACTTTCGCTCGTGGATTTATTGCTAGTAGTAATCCGGAGTTGACTATTAAATGTGGAAGCTGTTTTTATCTAAAATAGCTAGTCAAATATAAAGACGAATAAAAACTTTTGTTATTATTTGCGAAGAAAATAGAAAAATGAAACGACTTTTTGTGGATCTCTCTCCTACTCAATGCTAACTACAGAAAACAATCTGCATTTTATAACAGGCCTTCTACACTTGAAATTGAGAGATTAGCGTCATAAACGTTTTTTTAGTGAAGACAGTTCTATTATCAGAAATGTATCTGAAAATAAGAGTAGTAGCATACAATCTTTTTTATAGAGAATCTCATCAGACGTACAAAACCTTAGTAAATTTATGATACGCGCATATCTTTAGCATCTTTTATGGAGATTGCAATAAACAATTATATTCTACTGCATCCACAATCTATAAAAACAATCCCTGTATCAGTAATCAACAAGGTTTTCGCCGAAAAGGATAAGTGGATGAAAAGAAAACAAGGAACAGTAAAAACTCTGAGCGATAAACGCGTCAACAAAAGAAAATATAATAAATTTTACAACTTGATCAGTGGAATGTATTCTTTATGATGGCCCAAAAAATGTTGCTACCTCTTGACTGCAAGCAAACAACAATTCATAAAACACGACCATTTTAAAGGGATATATAAAGGGAAGAGTCAGAAGCAGAACAAGCTTTAGCTGAAACTACTATATCAACAATCTTGTCAACTATATGATGCACATGATCACCATTGTTCTTGTTTTATTCTTAATATTCGGTGCCGTCAACAGTGATTTCTTGTGTAATTGCTACTGCCCAAATCTTGAAACTTATGTCGGATGTGGTACTGTGAAAAACTCAACGACGACAATTTGCGATCCTCAAACTTGTGCTGCTGCTTGTGGTGTTACTTTCCCCGCTTGTTATTCTGGAGCATGGGGGTAAGCTTGTTTTGAATGAATTTCACGTATATATTTGGAATTATGCATATTATAGACAATGTCGAAGAACACCTTGCGGTAGTGGAAATAACCTGAAAGTGTCGTTGGCTGGATTGGCTCTCGTATCGATTGTGACGATCTTTCATAAACACTTTTGAGTGATGTAATGCGACTTTTTTGATCGGTTATATTTATCCGCTTTTTTCATGTGTGTCTAGATCCTTCCTATTTTTTGTGCTGTACTAGTTGTTTTTCTTTAGATGACCTATAATCATGACGCTCCATAAAAATTTGAGTAGAAACCTTACTAATAAATTTATTTTATTATCACTGATCCCATTTTCTTCTTATATAATGAGAAGAGTAAGCAGTTTAGTTATTACAGTTTTGAATTAAAAAATTTGAATAGTGTGGGTGTGGGTTAGGGTTGCTAAGTCTTCTGGTTTGGCTAGGAGACTCCTGACTTTTAAGCTTTTCTTCTGTTAATATTCCTGCTGAATTCAGGGGATTCTTGAATTTTGTCAATAAGGTTTTCACCACCTAGCACTTTCGCCAGTGTCGAATGTCCTATTAAAAGACACAGTAAGACGTATCATGCATACTCCAATATCAATGCGAATTACAGATGAGTTACATCTTATACCGTCGACATTTAATAATTCTTAACATTAATGCTATCGACCTCAATGCACTATTAAACTGCAAAAAATCGGTCACTTTTAGTTCAATTCAATCTGTTCATTGAAGCATAAGTTGAGATGTCAATGTCTATATCTGCTTCATATTCAAACTAAAGCACTTATCTAAATTATGAAAGTATATTTATCTTTTATTTTCCGAATAAGAGTTATTTCTTTTTAAATAATAAACAAGTGACATCTTCCGATGAAACATTTTATTATCAAACCAGTAGAAACGAACGATGATAGAATTCAATAATCAATTCAATATATCAAAGTTTCTTTAAAAATGCTTGTTAATTTTTGTACAGCTCAATTTAAACCTATTCTCGAATGTTCTCAAATGCAGTTAGAAGGTTATGATGCTCAAAATCTTGCCAAAGATTTTTCACAAAAGTATTTATCATCAAAAAATAACAAATCATATGATTTTATATTTCATAAATCTTTAACTTTTTTGTTTTATTAGCAATGGTTTTTTAGCTGATTCATTACAACGTCCACCTGTTGATATTTATGTTCGATTTCCTTTCAATATAAATATAAAACATATTTATCTTGGTCCATCAATTGGACATCATCGTTCAACATTGATTGAATTAAATGTTAGTCACCAAAGAATTGATGAAAAAACATCTTGGTTAGATAATCCATTAAATAAATCAAATATTATTAATATAAAACAATTAATATTTTATCGAATTGCACAAATATTAGATGAAAATGATAGTACACAACGAATTGAAATTTATGATCATGATAATGAACAATCAAATATGAATACAACAAAATATCGTTTTTCATCAAATACACATTTAACTAATTGTAGTACAATTAAAATAACTATTAAACGTACATGGCGTTTATCATCTTGTGCTTTAAAATATCTTCAAATTTGGGGAGTTTTATCAAATAATATTCCAAATGAATTACAAATGAAACTTCAACAAATTATTTCACCAACATCTAATAAATCTGAATCAAACGATGATAAAAATCCTTCGGAAATAATCAATGAAATCCCATCAGAATTTCTTGATTCTTTAACATTTGATTTAATGTTAATTCCAATGTTATTACCAAGTGGTCATCTTATTGATCGAACAACATTAGAAAAATGTATTGCAGAAGATATACGTTGGTGTCGTTTACCACGTGATCCATTTACACTTGAATCATTTACTGATATAACACAACCAGTTGTTGCACAACAATTAAAAATTCGTATTGATCAATTTTTAAGTGAACATCAAAATGATCCTAAATATCGTCATTATGGAAGATTACTTAATGCTAATCCAACAATAAATGATAGAAATTTATTTTCATATAAAAGAAAAACTTTTGATGATAATGATAATCAATCAAAAAGAAAACGAGATAATGATTAGTTAAAGCAATTCTTTTTAGATATGTTTAAATTTAATTTTAATGTTGAAGAAAATGGTATAAATGAAAATTTAAATGTCAAAGAAAAACAAGATGATCTTTCTACATTAACTCAAGAATTTGGATATTTTCATATTGACGATTTACAAAGTAAAAAGTTATGTATTATTTCTCAGGATAGCACTCGGTTATATAAAATAACCATCAGGGTTTCGTCTAGGTCTCGTTTTTTGAATGGACAAATCGAAACTTCGAATGGGCGCCGCCCACCCACTGGATAAAATCACTGATAACTCAACGCTCTTTTTGAAATATATATTTCACAGAATATGTCATATCATTAAAGAATGTACGCTATCGTATAAGGTTCGGCATTTAAGCGTGAAGGTGTGAATATGCAACTGTAAGTCTTATTAGACGTGTCATAACTAAAACCGCAAAATGTTCTAATTTGTCACATTTTATGTTACAAGAAAATAGGACATACTTAAACATGCTTGATAATTTTATGAAGTTGGCATGTAACTGTAACGTGTTTGCTTATTATTGATGGTAAAAATAGTAAGTGAAAATATATATACTATTCCAATTGTGATGCGTCTGATAGGATCTATAGTTGAATATCTGCAATGTGCTGTATCAGTTCTAGATATTTGTTTTCAGTCACTGCTGTTGTTCTGTAGACGAATACTAAGTCGATCATTTAAGATGTAATAGTCAGAGCTTTTATCATTATAAATGATACGATCGAATGTGCCGATCTATATCATTATCTACCAGATTGCCATTCTGATTTCAATCTTCCAGATCCGTTAGACTGAATTCACCCTAGTATCAAATGAATATTATGAAAACTAAAATTATAAAATAATTGTTTTTCATTAAATCGTAGTTTGAAATATTTCTTGACATATTTTATTTTTCTTCAATAAATATTCCTCTTCATAAATAAAAGAATTAAAATTTCTCTAGACGAATCCAAAGAAGATGAAGAAAAAAGTCGTCAAAAATTTGAATTATATAAATCAGATCTTATACCAAATATTTATGAAGGTATAATTATATCACTTATATAATTGCAACAATAACAAAAATGTTCTTTCTTTAGGTGGTTTTAAAACATGGGAATGTTCACATGATTTAGTTAACTATTTAAAATCTATCATCGAAAATTATCAAAATATCACAACAGTTATCGAAGTAAACAGAAATAGAAAGGCTAGAATATGAATATTCTGTCTTGTTTTTATATAGCTTGGTTGTGGTAGTGGTTTACCAGGTTTGGAATTAAATAAATCTCAACAATTTCATGTTGATTTTCAAGATTTTGTATGTGAAAATTTCTCGAGAAATGTTTTTTATTGAAATGTAATTGTAGAATCGTGAAGTAGTTGAACAAACAGGAAAACAATTGAAGAAAGAAAAAAGAATGTATAACAATCGTATGTTTTTTGGTGATTGGAGTGATTTAATAAATATTATTCCATCTCATTAGTAAGTAAATATTAATAGAAAAAAATATCAATCTAAATATGAACTATTTTCTTTCAGTTATGATATCATACTTACCTCAGAAACAATATACAATATCAGTAATTATGGAAAATTAGTTCAATTATTTGATCATGCTCTAAAACCACAAGGCGTTATGTAAGTCAATTGAACTATTGAATGAATATTTTCGAATTTTTATAACTAGATATCTTGCTGCTAAAGTATATTATTTTGGTGTTCAAGGTGGTGTACGTCAATTTGAAGAATTTATTAGTAAAACTGGTTTATTCAATACTCGAGTTATTCAAATTATTGATGCAAGTAAGGAGAAGAAGCAAAATGTTTGTTGAATATGAATATATACATATAGAATTTTT